GGGAAATGGGGAAAATAAGGATTGAAAACTTTTTGACCACCCCTCCAGACTAAAGGCAAACTTTTTGTGCCTCCCCCCTCATAAAAGTAGAAACTTTTCTGACCCCCCCCCCAGTGTGGATTGAAAAATTAACAGCAATGAAACAGGTGTGCGTTGCAGGTAAAGTTAGATATTAGGACAATCTGTCCTAATCCTACCATAACCCTAACCCATGATCCATCTTCATACAGCGAAATGATTTGAACACAGGTTTTTTTTAAAAACTTGTCTAGGGGGGAGTGGGCATCTACAAAAAGGGACCATACTATATTGAGTGTGGAGAGATGACAGATGGTTGTTAGTGACAAAAAGTTTGGTGTGGTATCGTATGTACTAGTAGGGGGGTCTTTGTATTTTTCCACCCCTAGAACTGAAATGTGAGCATTTTCTGAAACAGATTTTTGGATATACAGCGTTACATTGTGCGTTGATAGACCGAATCTGATCAGTTAAGTATACTTGCATGGTATGTTTATGTAAATACCACAACTGGGTCACTCAGGGGGTAGAAAGCTTGTTAAACTTAGTGGGCCCGACTCCCACGATCGCGAGGCGCTACCATGGTTGGCGCCGAGCAGGGAAATTTTGAAAATTTTGAGTCTCTAGATCGTTGGAAATAGCATTTTCAGAGTCTTCTTTTTTGCTATTTGTGATTATAGAAATCAGAACTCTAGACATGGTATTTAAGTTCAAAAACTTTTATGACCCCCCCTTTCTCTGTTAAAACTTTTTTGACCCCCTTATTTATAAGGGTAAAACTTCGTTTGCCCCCCTCCCATTCCCCCCCCCTCCCCCCCTCCCCATAAATAATGACCACTCCCTTAGTGACTGTAATTTGACAAAGGATTTCATTCAGCTATCGAAACCAGAATAGCAAGAAAAAATATTTGTTCCCAGTAATTCTCTACAAATATGGAATTATTTTTCGAAAACACTTACAGCATCTCAAGCATCTTAGTATTTTTAAGCGCATTTTCTGGGATCTCTTCTATTTTGTTGTCGCGGAGTGACCTATATTATATGAGAGTAAGAGATATTTTGAGATTTTAGTGTTTCATGTCTGTGTTATTTTATGCAATCGTTTGCTATAATCATTTAAGTTCTGTTTTCATTAATTTATTTTATACTGCATTTCATATCAATACAATTTACATCAGAATATCACGTCATTTAACAAGTAATTCGGTCCCCAGTTAAAACCTATAGGGCCTTTACTCGGTAGCCAGCACTTGATTTGCAGGTTAATCGACTACAATGACATCACGATGTTGGATGCCGGAGACTATACAATGTATAAGCTAGCAATTCCTTCTCTCCGCCCAGAAATTACCTTGATTCCAGCCTTCTCACGTGAAAAAGCGCTGAAATATAGCTGTACCTAGGTCAATAGCATCGTCCGTATATACCAAAATTTTTTTGGACATATAGTAATTTGTCCATACGAAAATTCTTCCGTAATATTTTCGTGAATTTTGATTTTTACAATACAAACTGTAATATCTTAATCTTGATTTTGAAAATAAAAATCTCAATGTTTGAAAAAAATTTGAATGTTTTGATTTTAGGGGCCCATGATGGCAAAGACCCACAACGAGTTCTCGTTGTCTCGCCCTTAGCCAGCTCGTCCCTGAATTGTCACCACAATGGACGAACGACTATTGTGTACTCACTAATCCATTAATTAATTAATTAATTAATTAATTAATTAAATTATGTACGCCAATAATTAATCAATAAAATAAAATAAATAAAGCGTTTCTTACAGCTTATTTAACCTTGGCATCATCAATCGCGGGAACTTTTTTATCTCATTTCTATCCAATTCCCTGGAAAACAAAGAAGTCCATCTTTACATATAATAAATCTAAGCTGTCGTCGAACTTTATTTACGTCAAAAACCTTCTGCAGGCGACTCCATTTACAGTACACCAAATTTTTGGAGTACCATACATACAATAGTGGGACGGATCTAACAATTTATCAGCAATAGGCAATTCCAGCTTTTAGTTTATGCGTGCAGGGGGCGATGGGAAGTAAGGTGATATTGCTGATTATGCTGAAAAATAAAAATGGCGACCGTGTAAACACGGAGTGACAGCTTATACTTGTAAATATTGAAATATTTCGGTTGTTTCGGCAGTTTTAATCAATTTTTTCAGGATAATCAGCAATATGATACCTTACTTTCCGTCATCCCCCGCGCGCATAATTTAAAAGCTGGAATTGCCTATTGTTTTCCCTAGAATATCATGTGACTGCGCCCTTTTTAACAATTGTTGAACTTACAGTGTTCGTAGATTTTCGTGAATCCAACTCTCGTTAATTTCTTGGATGTTGTTATCCATCATGTATCTAGAAAAGTAGCGTATATGAAACCAAATGTTTCAAATTCGCGCTTCTAATCAGTAAGCTGTTACATTTCCTTTGCTGAAAATGTTAACTCTTCCAATACTCAAAAATGTTTTTAAACTGTTTGTATTTTATGTACATTTTCTGGCTACTATACTTTAATACACGTTTTCTGAAAGCACGTCGCCTTGGCTACAGAGCCTCGTTCTCGTAATTGGATTGTTAGGCTTTAAAACTAATGTTAAGCACAGGATAACGAGGTTCTAAATACAACTCGACTATACCTCGAAAAGAGTGTATTGATTGATATGACAGCATTCGATAAATATATACAGTATATATATAGCAAAACAGCGAAACATTTTAAAGCGAAACCTAAAAAGACTTTTATTGTCCTAAATTCGTGTACATAACAACTAGAATTTAATGGCACCAGGAAAGATTTGATGATATAAACTTTAGAGTTTCGCTTTGGAATTTAGGTTAAGCTAATCGGCTTTCCAACAATCGGCCCCAGGAAGTTAAAAAGACCCTAGGTTAAAAATGTCTGCCCTCCAAACAAAAGAAATCTCTCTATATAACAGAAGCAACGACCTGCTTCCGGTGCGTGCACGACAGGTAGAGAAAAGCAAACATACGTACTAACAACTGAATATTCTGCAAATATTTGAACAGCTAATGGAGACATTGAGTATTTAACATGAGGCAAGTTACAAGATTGATTAGGATTGCTACTTACAAAATTCTCAAGTTTTTCATTTTCGACAGCACCGTCGTTGGTACTACAGTGAAATTGTTTTCATCCAAATTTCTAGAGGAAAAGACTTTTTAAAAGTTATGCCAAGGAGAGAGAACGATGAAAACATCTTTTGAAAATTCACAATATAAATATTTTTATCCCCAATCAACTAAATCCTTTCTTGACGAATGCAAGCTTTAAACGTGGCTTTTTACACGATTTATATGATTTGGTTAAAATAAATAAATTATCTGTCTATTCGACCCATTCAACTTTTAATACTGATAATTTAAAACAATGAATCTGAATTTTGTGAAAACTCTCAGGGGAGTGGTTTCCAAAGACAGGCAAACGTTCTTATATATAATATATATATATTGATATAGATAAGAAGGCGTTACAGTTACGAAACAACAATCCTCTCTCTCGAATAAGCTCCTTCCCCCACTCGAATATACACTGAAGTGAATATTTCCTAATGGGAAGTATACTGCAGGGTTTACGATATACATTTTAAAGCGTTTCAACTTACAGGCCCTCCAACTTAAACCTTCGAATATTTAGGTTCGGTAGAGAACTGAGATTATTCTTGCCGAGATCCCTGCAACGAAAACAACAATATAAGTCAAACGTGCGTATGCCGTACGGAGATTATTTATTGGAGAAGCTGGGATGCAAACGTGCTGTCCTGTCCAACCATGCAGGACCTATAATAAGGAGTTCTATTGGTGTGAGGAAATGGCGGTAGGTTGACCGCAGTGGCGCACATTCAACAAATTGCTGCATGGGAGGATTTAAGACGATCTGGGACCGACTTTCCTGTTCTGCAACATACATCTGTGGGTATATATACATACAATACCACGGAAATACAGGGGCAGATCCAGCTTATTGGATGACCGATTTACCAGGTACACAGAAAGGGGGTTCAGGGATATGCTTCCCCAGAAAATTTTTCAAATTTGTGGCTCCGAAACAGCATTTCCTCCGTTCTGGCGTCACTGTTTTATTAATTCAATGATTAGAAATACAGGTTTTTAATAGAATTTTTGAAGAGAATCCGAAATATGCAAATGCATGGTTATAAGTTCTCAGGTTATGTTGATATTGACATATTTATAACATATTGCCAACGAACGCTCTTCTTGTTGGTCTAAATTTACTATACTGAAATAATTTGAATAACTCTTATAACAGAAAATCTGAACCAATTTTTGACACAGTCTCAAAGAAAACTGGGATCGACATTTTGTGATATTCAAACGCTGGTGGTGTGGGTTATCCCCGAGCCGACGGCGCGAAGCGCTGTGCCAGGATACTAATCCCCCCGGCTATTTACACCCGGGGAAACGAAAGCATTAGCGAAGTCTAAAGTTCATCAATGACCGCGGGTGCTACCGTGAGTGGTTCGGTGGGTGGTCATCTCACTGATCTCAAAATATGGTGGGTGGTCATCTCACTGATCTCAACAAATATAAAAAATAGGTACGCAATGCGTACATGTGGCTAGCCTGGTAAACTTGAACTCCCCAAACCCTCTTCCAAACACAGAGAGCCTGTCATGCTGGTTAACTTCAATAGTAATAAGAAGACACGCAGGCTAACTTTAATAGTAATAATTGGAGATATTATTGAACAATGCATATGCAATCTCCGTTGTGATTGGCTAAGAATCTACAAAAAATTATCAATGTCTTGCTGCCTCCGACATTGAAAAATTGTTGGTAGGTGACATAACTTCTAGTATGCATGGCTGACCTACAAAACTCTCTGCAACTGCATGTGCTCTTGCAATTGTATAATATTTCAATTACTGTGTCCAGCCCTTAGCTTCAGCAGATAACATTGTCATAACTGTCAAGGTTGACTGCATATCGTGCACGAGACTTGGCTCTCCTAGGAGGGGGGAGCTTGGTGTTCCAGCATCATATCTACACCCTTCCCATAATGTCTTAAAATTTGGGTTTCTGAAATGACATTTCCAGCATTATTTGAACACATTTTTGAAAGATTACTTTTCCCTTCCCATTGACGAATAAAATCGTCTGGCATTGGACAGGTCAAAAAAGTAGAGCGCACTGGGGCACACATTGCGGCTCAATGGGTTAACCAATATTGTATGGACTGTTCATGTTACAGGGCAAATGAAGCATTATTGACTGCAAAATTAGTATGGAAAATATAAAGAGAAAGTAAAGTCATTTCACACATTTCTGAGTTTTGCATTTGTCTTAATTTTTGCAAATTCTGTAGATTATACTTAGTGGATGCTTATACCCAGGGGATGCTTATACCCAGATGGTGCTTATACCCTGAGGGTGCTTAACGGCAGGGACCAGTTGCCTATTCTTGGGTTTCACTACAGCATTATGCAGTGAATCTGATGGGGGGTCAACCTCAAATGTATTGATGCTTATGCTGTAGTGGAGTGAGAAAATGATACGAAATTCCATGTATTTGCCACTGAACGCAAAGCTAATACATAAAACGAACAATCGACTCACTCTGATAACTGTGTTTTGTTTTAGAGTTGACCGCCCGTCACTTTTGTGATGTCATATGAAACCCAAGAATACGAGTATACTTGCTGGATGCTTATATTTATACCTAGAGGGTATTTTAGCAAATAGTTTCAAAAGGAATGTGAAAACACATTAGATGATGAACACAACAATTTTTATACACCCAAAGAGATATATATACTAAGAAATGCAAATACTAACAAAATTACTAAAATAATTTCATGTATATGGACTACTGTACTATAGGCTGCAATAGTCAAGGTTGTTCTTGTGACTACATTATCAAAAGTCAAGGTAGTTTTTTTTACTAATATAGCAATAGTCAAGGTAGTTAATCCCAGTACAAATGGCAATTGGTTTGCAATATACCTACAATACTCCTGGCATTCTTGGCTTGTTTTTGTTTGGTACCTGGCCTAAATTCACGTACTGTAAATAGCCCTGTATGATCCGTACGAGCACAATGGGCCCTTTCATGTGTAATATTGTATTTTTCAATTTTAATTTTGATTTGGCTCCTTTGTATACTGTATTTCTGATTTTATACGTCGACTTCGCGTATAATATAAGAATGCCAGATCTATATTCGGATCAAAAATATATCTTTGACCAGACCAAGCCAAAATGGCGTTGTAAATAATACAATAAAAGCAAACTTATACAAAAATAGAAATGAGCAAATATACCTTTTACAGTTTACTCAAAGGAACACAAGGTATAACGCGATATGCTGCTCATGCTAGAGTAGAAGTAGAAGTCCTCAAACTGGATCAAAATCATGAAATGCCTCGAAATGTGAAATGTCGGCAGAAAAATACGGGCGCTTCCGATTACTTCCGAGACTTTACGAAAATCCGGACTGGACACCATGATCATCATCGCTCATCGCGTTTGTGTACTATGTGATAATGGCTAGCCCGCAAACGGGCTAGCCACAAAAATGCATGTCAGAAAGCTTGGAAAATCGTTTCACATAACAAATTGTGAAACTTTTTACCATTTTTACAGTAAACGTAAACATTTATAAGAATCGATTTAGTATGAGAAATCCTAAAGTGTATAGCTATAGGGCAAGTTTGTTTCAATTGTTTATGTATGACTTTGTATTAATGTGGACTTTGTTCTTGATGTTCAAGTCATTCCTGTGCATTGTTTGCGAACGTTTCTTAGTTAAATTAACCTTTGTAGAAGTTCATTATAAAAAAGAAAGCAAATTATTTTCGTCAGTGTCCTGTACTGTAGGCCTACGAATTAAATTTATTTCCTTTCAAAGTGCGAGTAATAAGTAGAAGCTTGAGTTGTAGAGTTTATGTAAATATCGGTAAAAAGCAGCTGATTTCAATTCACATTTAAAAACGTTTTAGGGAGCAGTAATTATTAA